AGAAGTTTGTAACAAACAACAGATTTAAAAACAGCCATACCTCAACCTTCAAAGCTTAGCCTGGCAGGTTTTTAGCATCCTAAGAAGTCATGCCATTTGGAATGCCTGGACTGCACGTTCAACATAACAGCCTGCCTTTAAGCAGTAGTTAAAAAGCATCATTTCTAAAAACACGTATTAAACCAGCACGGTGAAAGGGTGCCATAAATCAAGCTTTGTTTGAACAAAAGTAAACCACACCAAAAGGAATGAGGAATGACCTACAAGATGCAGGCTCTCCCAAAGCAGCAGGTACTTCAGTTACTGCAGCTAGCCATGCACTTGGTTTCTTCAGCAGTCCTGTAGCTGAAGTGCAATCATACTGCAGCAGTCTCAGATCAACCCCCTTGAAGTATTTGTGCAATTTAGGAATAGCGTTTTATGTGAAAGGTAACACTGATTTCACAAGTTTGGTGGGGTTTTTTTGTAATGAACTGGTGCGGAGGTGGCTCTAAGCTGCTTCTGGCTATTTTAGTGACATCAAGGTTGGGATGAACAACTGAAAATTAACCCTCTTGCTTTTGAAATGCTGAACTCAGGACTCCTTACCACAGCGTTACCCATTTTTGACTCAAATACTCCTTTCTGTCATTACTCAAATTACAGAGTAATCCCATAATGCTACAATACGTCCCAAACAAATGAAAGACTGACTCTTTTCCTCCAGCTACACTTGCAACACTTTTCAGTTCAATTGAATTCCTTCCATTTCACAGAACCACAGAATGGCCCAGGTTGGAAGGGATTTCAAGAACCATGAATCTCCAACCCCCCCTGCCACAGGCAGGACCACCAACCTCCACATTTCATAGCAGCCCAGGCTGCCCAGGGCCCCATCCAACCTCCAGGGATGGACGGGGCATCCACTGCCTCTCTGGGCAGCTGTTCCAGCACCTCACCACTCTCATAGCGAAGAACTTCCCTCTGACATCCAACCTAAGTCTTCCCTCACTCAACTTAAACACTTCTTATGTTGCAAAACAGGAAGAATTTAATTCTTCTGTCTGTCAAAAAAATCCTCTTCCCTCAATCCTTTTTCCTACTTCCAACCATCTCAGAAGATTTTTGTCTACGGTCTTATTGATTCCTTTTTTTTAATAGCACAAGTAATGCCACATAAAACAACGTAAAGGCAAACAAGTGACACAGATTTTCTGTACCATTCTACATACGGCCCGTACACTGTTTGAACAACATGCTGAGGAACAGCTTTCAGGTAGAAATCTGTAAAAGATGTGCAGTGCTTTCTTCTGTGTGAATTAAAATATTTAGATTTTCCATGATGCTGAAAAATGCAGCTAAACAAACAATGTGACATTTTTCATCTAAATAAGGCACCAGTTTCTCGCTCACAAGCGAAAGCTTGGGCCAGAGCCAGGAGCTGCCACCTCCTCAGAGGTAACACAAGTTACACCTGCTCTTGTGATGCTGATGGCCTTTCTAAAGCCCATCTGCACAAACCATGTTGCTCACGTATACAACAAGCCACCTGTACCTGCCAGAAGCACCCCAGTCCACACAGACCCACCTTCTTTCCTGCTACATTAAAAAAGGAATCTCCATGTAAGTAAGAAACCTTGCATGAAATACACTCCTCTAGCAACTCCAGCACAGAGAACTGTACAAGTGAAGAAACGATCTCAAAATCTTGATCTTTCAAACACAAAAGTCAGTTTCCTTTCTCGCTGGTACTGCAGAATAAGTTCTTACCATACAGTAGGGACGAAGTTATTTCCATAAACAAATCTGACTAGACAGCTGTTTTATATCAGAATATCTACTTACAACAACGTGATGGGCTTCCTCACCTTCGTCCCAGTTACGCATTTCCACAAATAATTAAAAAGAAAAAATCAGAAATCAGTTAGCTCTTCGAAATCTAGTATCATTTCAGCTTTTACTGTACTGGTAACCAAGAAATTGAAACCAACGCAGAAGATAATATCGTCAGAAGCACTTCTTGAGAAAAACAAGTGGCCAGAGTAGGTGATGGGAACTGCACTCAATTCAGCACACACTGAGAACTGTCTCCGTCCAGAAAGGAAACTAACAGAGGTAAATACCCATGGCTTTCTTAGTTAGTGAGAGTCTGCGGACTTCAGATTGCTTGACTGTAATACACCCTATAAAGAAGTAACCTTGAAGGCCACTCTGAAATTTCAGCTGGATTAGAACATTTATATAAAAATCTTTCACAACAGAAGTATAATATAGCTTTATTTCTGTATAATAGCTGAATATTCATTGCTAAATGCAGTTCAAGGCATTAGCTTCAAACTACAAATCCCCCACTGAGTCAGAATTTATGGCCTAACAGCTTGGGGTTCTCCAGCAAACAGCTATCCCCCAACTTGGGGTGTGCATGGGGAGGGGAGAACCCAAAACCCACAGTTTTATCTGCCAAATGATTCACTGAAGATAAAAATCTTCAACAGGGAACGGTCTTTTCCAAGAAAATTAACAACTTCTACATAAGATTCTCTGCTTATAAGGTATCATACAGTGGCTGCAGCACAGCTATTTTGAGACACTGGGGATGCATGTTGGTGAGTGTAAATGTAGATGAGTACTTCTTAAGTATTGTAAAAACAATCCCCTTTGCAGCAGGAGGAGACACAGACCACAGACAGTCAGTGATATCAGTCTCTGCATCATTATTATCAAGGGTCATCATCACCCAAGATCTCTGAATCAAATATAAAGAAATTCAGGCATTATTTCAACACACTCACTTGCCGAATCTCATCATCTGCAATGCAATTCAACAAGATTAAGAGTGGTTTCCTCCCAGATTGCTGATGAATCACTGGCAGTAGGGCAGAGGTTTCTGAAAACAATCCTGCTAATCTCTGTTCACCTGATCATGTACTGTTATACAGTAATACATATGTCCTAAGCTGCCCTTCACTTAAGCCTTGACATTCCGGTGCATGCAACTGCAGGATCCACATGTTTACCTGTACATTAGAACATTTTAATATCTTTATGAGCATACAATAACATTACAAATCTCTAAATCACTTTTCCTTTAAACTAGTTCAAATACAATGCTGACAAAACAAAACAACCATGCAGAAAACATGCAAATAACTTTGTTTCTCATCTCCATTAGTGTTAATTCTGCTCAGAAGTGACTGAGAAACTCGACATGCCTCCCAAGACTTCGGTTGTCAAAACAGACTACAATGACAGCACTCTCATTTCTAAATTCCTCTCAAACCAACCTGTCACGCTGTCTGCTTCGGCAGAACAGGAAGGTAAAGCTATAAGCAACTGCAGAGAAAAACAAAGGTGCCTACCTGATAAAGTCTGCTTCTATTTCTGTTAGTGGAAACTGTAATTTCATATCCACATCGTGCATTAATAGAATAAAGGAAGTCACAGTCTGTGGTTCTAGCAGAGAAGCACTGGAACTGTCCATGGCATGCACACTCCTCCTAGGTGCACTTGGCTATCTACACAGCTAGGAAGGCTTTCATCAGTTTCACTGACCTCAAACACACAAATGCAGAAATGTACGGTTTGCCAACTAGCACCACTCTCTTTGTAAGACTGAAAGGGAAAGAGAGGTCAGGAACAGGAAGAAGAGGTGAAGTTCTGCATTGGAACAGCTGCCCAGAGAGGCTGTGGATGCCCCGTCCATCCCTGGAGGTGTTCAAGGCCAGGTTGGATGGGGCCCTGGGCAGCCTGGGCTGGTGTTAAATGTGGAGGTTGGTGGCCCTGCCTGTGGTAGGGGGGTTGGAGATTCATCATCCTTGAGGTCCCTTCCAACCTGGGCCATTCTGTGACTGGAGCACTGCACAGCTACCTAGCAGCTCTGTGTAGGTCAATGGCACGAATGGAATATAAATGCACAGTTTGACAACTGCGTTTCTCTTCCTAGCAGGACCATCAGAAGACAGTGCTGCTAAAGCTGTTATAAAGATGACAGCAGTTTTTGGCTCTTTTATAATTATTTTTTTTTCTATTTACTTTGGCCATATTCCGTATAATACGAAACACACAGGATTTTTCATTCACGACTGACTGAAATTGCAAAACAAGAGAGCAACTCTTAGCGATACGAGAAGCGCACGGAGAAATTCAGCTTCCAAAGAAAAAAACACAGCGGTTCCCCGCTTTTAACACACAACACGCCTCACAATGGCTTCGGCGGACAAAACCTTACACCGGGGCACTCCCAGCCACCGCA